GTTTTTCTTAACTTTGCGCCCCCACCCCTATGTTGTCGACCACCCCTAGAGGCGACGACATGGGTTTTTACACTTACCTAGGCCCCTATTACTAAAATCAAAAGTCAATTTAAATGAGTCTTTTACTTACGTTCAATAACAAGGGAGTTAAAAGTGGTTTTCTGATTAACGTTTTTCTTAACTTTGCGCCCCCACCCCTATGTTGTCGACCACCCCTAGAGGCGATGACATGGGTTTTTACACTTACCTAGGCCCCTAATACTAAAATCAAAAGTCAATTTAAATGAGTCTTTTACTTACGTTCAATAACAAGGGAGTTAAAAGTGGTTTTCTGATTAACGTTTTTCGCAACTTTGCACCCCCACCCCTATGTTGTCGACCACCCCTGGAGGCGAAGACATGGGTTTTTACCCTCACCTAGGTCCCCATTACCAAAATCAAAAGTCAAAATCTCTGACTCTTTTCATGCATACTCAACTGCACCTAGCACCTCGCCTATACATAGTTAGCGACGTTTACATGCATTGTTGTTAATCAATGTATCTTAAAAAGGATGATGAGATTTATTTTAAAAGGAACATGAACTTTCTGTCATGATATTAGCTGCTTAAATAGTAATTACTCTATATAAGTAAATAGTAATTACTTATTTAATTAGTACTTAAATAGTAATTACTCTTTGTGCCACTTTTTTAAAGTCAAAGTGTAGTGTTATTTTTAAAAATCTCATGCGCAAGTGGGCCACAGTCCGTAATAGGCCACTGCAAATCATCTGTCAAGATTGGTAGTATTTTAGGCAGGGTTTCTGTGTTTGGATGTTATTAGACACGATAAGAGCGCAATGAACTTCTGCAGATGAATAATCTGTTGGTTTAGAGAAATATAAGCCAAATTATAAATGCCACAATCCATGGGCATTAAAATGGCTCTGGTCTGAACTTTTTTGTAGTATCGAGTTTTTAGTATCGAGCAAAATTGGTCAAAAAGGCAGACACCAACCCGTACAATAGATATAGATATAAGACAATTCAATAAGAAATAATCTAAGAGTTACTGTGATATTGAGATATTTCCACTGATTTCGTAATAGCACGTTATATTGCAAAACATGACATGACATGATGCAGAAGAAAATAAATTTTAAAATCAGAAAATAACATTGCAAATACTTCTTTTTGACTAATTCAGCAACTCCCTATTAATTAATGTGTGTTGTTTAAAATACAATTTTAATACTAACAGCTGTTAAATTAATAAGTAGTGAAAAATTATCCATATGGCAATAATGTAAACAAATCTGGAGAGGGAACTTTAAAGGTCACTGGGGCAGAGGCCCAAGGGAATTCACTTTGTTTTTCTTTTGAAAGCTCATCTAAAGACCAAGACCTTTCTTTAGACACCTCTAAAAAACTTTTACGGAGAGCCGTTCTCTCAAATTAGTGGAGACAAAGTTTTCAATTGAATAAATAGATTCCTCCATGTTAACCTTATGGGAGAAAACCCAACTTTGATGGAAGACCCTGCTCAAAATAATTTAAATTTCAATAAACGATCAAACCACTTTGCAAAACTACAGATCAGGGCCATTATTTTGACACTTTAAACATCAAAATCGGTCTAAAAATGAGGGAGGAGTTCTGTTTGCAAAAATCGGCTTAGCATATTTTATATATATATATAGCCTATACATCTATATATAGATAATAAACAAAACAATATGGCGTCGATTCAAAAAGAGCAATTTTTGCCGAGAGAGGAAGAAGGAAGTGCAGTCAACCGTCCACTTAACAGCTCAACCGGTGGTGAGTAGTTTTGGTTGGATAAGTCAACTGTCAATCGTTTGAAAAATACGAAACGATTGGAAAGTGAGTGACTCAACACTCAACCATTTCAAATAAACAGTATCAGCATTCTGACACACACTTTCTGACATACGTTTATCAACAACCTTTATCATGGGTAAGCGGTGAGAGTAAATAAATATTATATTATTTTATAGTTAAAAATCACAAAAGTTGCACTAACTTTTAAACCAGAATTGATACAAGTTGTACTATATTTTTAGAATTATAAGGACCATAACAGATTAATTTTTATCAAAACCAGCTTTTCTCCAAAAATCAGATTTTTTGTTATTTTATGTTTTTTTTATGGGAAAATACGACGACACGACATACCAACGTGACAGACTTTTGAACCGTAATTTTTACAGAAATGGGATTTGTGAATTTTTTTTCAGAATTTAAAGGACTATAACATACAACATTTTTATCAAAATCGTCCGGGCCATTTTTGAGAAAATCTGATTTTTTCCGTTATTTTATGGGTTTTTATAGGAAAATCCCCATTGATAGTCAAAATTTCAAAAAAAAATCCAAAAAAGTTCAATATTTTAAGGACCATAACATACTATGTTAAATCAAAACCAGTTTTTATCTAAAATCTTATTTTTTGTTATTTTATGGGATTTTTATGGGAAAATAACATAATTTACAATAAGTTTTGAACTGTAATTTTTACAGAAATGGGATTTGTATAATTTTGTTCCGAATTTAAAGGGATACAACAAACTAAATTTTTATCAAAATTGTTCGGCCATTTTTGAGAAAATCCGATTTTTTCCGTTATTTTATGGATTTTTATAGGAAAATCAACATTAAAAATCTAAATGTAAAAAAATGAAAAAAAAACCCTGGAGATACCTTGGATTAAAACCTACACACCAAATTTCATCGAAATCGCACCACAGGTGTAGTCCCTAGCTCTGTACACATCCAGACACACAGACACAGACATCACTTTGAAAACCACTTTTTTTGTTCCAGGGGGACCCAAAACGGATATATCCACTCAAAACTCAAACTCGAAAATTTTGACAAAAACAATACTTTCCTCATATAATATGGTATAGGGGGAGAAAGTAAAAAGGGCCCCAGATGTAATAAATTAGTTTACTTGGAATTCCTCAATACGTCGGGGATTAAGTTTTGGTGGGATACAGCTAAGTAAAATAATCAGTATTTTTTATCTGCACTATTTTCCCCTATATCGAATAATCTTCATTTCAATTTTTGCTCAATAGTTACAACTGATGTTTTTTCCCCATTGTACCGTATTTTGTAATTTACTAGTGTACTTTGGATGGCTTGATATTAACACATGTGACAATTCTTTTGTTTACTTTTTACTTGTTATTTTGTTCAACCGACATAGTTACTTGGCAACAAATAAGGCCATGTTATTTGTTAATTTCCAAATGAGTTGTGTAGAGAAATACAAATTTTCCTGAGGTGGTGGCTGTTGCCAATCACGTTTTTAGGACTAAAAGTCCCTAATTCCAAAATGTAGACAAAATCCTTCCGCTGGATTTCGAGATATATATATATTACAGACAGATAAACAGACATAGCTCGTATTAGAATACAGGATTTTGATCAAATAAAAAAATTTATTATTTCATAATTTTTTAACATTTTACTAAATATTTATAAAACACTTCATTACCTTCCCAGTAGCAGCAAATCAAAGTACTTTTTAACTAATGTAAGTGAAATATAGAATATCAGACTAATTAAATTTTGCCATCACAAAACAAGATATAAAAATGGTAAATACAATTACAGTAGACCCCCTCTTAACCGACCTCGTATTAACCGATAATCGGATTATCCGCCTTTGATCGTAAAATAATACAGTTTGTTTTAACCGCCGCTTTCTAGGAATCTCGGCATTTCCGCTCCCACGCTCAGCGATGAGAACTGAACCATACGCTTATCTCCACAGGATATAGCACTGCCTATTGTCAGTTTGTCATCATCGTTCGTAGCTTGAGCACATCTGATCTGAATTGTTATCTGTGCGGCAAATTTATAACATCATAAAGTGCGTTACGATTTTGAGAACTGATTATCTTATCGCTTGAATAAACAAACAACACAACTTGTATGGGGGGTAGGGAAGGGGTGTTAACAACTCCAAGGTCAAGATAGTTTTTGTGCCTCGAAACAAATTTATAACATCATAAAGTGCGTTACGATTTTGAGAACTGATTATCTTATCGCTTGAGTAAACAAACAACACAACTTGTATGGGGGGTAGGGAAGGGGTGTTAACAACTCCAAGGTCAAGATAGTTTTTGTACCTCGTATTAACCGATAATCGGATTATCCGCCTTTGATCGTAAAATAATACAGTTTGTTTTAACCGCCGCTTTCTAGGAATCTCGGCATTTCCGCTCCCACGCTCAGCGATGAGAACTGAACCATACGCTTATCTCCACAGGATATAGCATTGCCTATTGTCAGTTTGTCATCATCGTTCGTAGCTTGAGCACATCTGATCTGAATTGTTATCTGTGCGGCAAATTTATAACATCATAAAGTGCGTTACGATTTTGAGAACTGATTATCTTATCGCTTGAGTAAACAAACAACACAACTTGTATGGGGGGTAGGGAAGGGGTGTTAACAACTCCAAGGTCAAGATAGTTTTTGTGCCTCGAGCCTCCAGTGAGAGGCTATAAATAAACGTCCTGTCTTGTAACAAAATGGTCGCTTGTATCTTTAATGACGACAAAAGGTTCTTTACTGTATTACGACGTATTTGGAAAGCATTAATTAATACATTACAGTAGTAAAGTTATTAAAATAGGAATTTTATTAACTCTTGCCTAGTATTATAATATATTCACTGAAAGTAGTTCTATTTGACTTAACCGTGTTTTGTGTTTATTTGTGACATTTCTATCAATATGAAAAAGGAGATAAGAGTAGTTTATTTTATAAATAATGCTAGTATGACTTCAAAATAATGATTATATAATTCCAGATGAATAGCACTTCATTATATTGTTATGATTTTAGGGATTGCCCGTTTTATCCGACCTTTTGAATCATCCGACCTAGGTCCGGTCCCATTAGGGTCGGTTAAGAGGGGGTCTACTGTAATCAGTTTACATTTTGTATACAAAGTACAGAACCTTTGTTTCATAAAATACTTACTTTCGCCATTTAAACTTTCTTTCATCCACCAGCTCTTTATCCTTTTCTTGGATTCTTTCAATTATGACCTCCGGCTCGCTGATTGGCTTAACTTCTCTCGGTTTCCATTTAAAGGGAGAATCAAATTTTTGTAATTGTTTTATTAATCTAGATTTTTTCTCTTCTTTGGTCTCTTCCTTATGAGTTGGCGTTTTAGATTGAGACCAGCAAGTTTTTGAAAATTTAGGATAGATTGGTCTTACTAAGGGTGGCTTTGGAACCTCTGGAAATCACACAAGCAAGATTAGTAAGAATTGCCACAAAAAAAAAAAAAGAAATTGTTATAATCTCTTATATTCTTTTTATTTAAATAAAAAAAAAACATTTATTAAATAATTACTTTTGAGAACTAAACAGCATAAATTGTATTTAGTCAAATTATACATCAATGATAAATCAATGAAAATAAACCATAAGCTGGTTATTTTAATATATTGGATACCAAGCCTCGATACGATTTCATGATTACAACAAATTTCAGTGCAGTCTAACTGGGAGCTTAGTTAGTTCACGTTGTTTGGTATTTTGATAATTTTCCCTTGGCTGGCCTGTCTCAGAACACTGAATACTTGGTCAATTCATTAGTTTTTTGATTGTATTCACAATCAAAAAGGAGGCTGTGTTTTACATTTTAAACCAAATGTATTCGTAATAATATATTTTTTTCTTATAAGGAAATGCATCTAGTTACTATTTAGCCGAGTAATTAAGTAATTACACTATTATTTATCAACAATCCATACGATTTTCGAAAAAAATAGCTGTACGATGTATATTTTGTTTAACTTATTATCGTTATAACTTTTTTATTAGTTAAGATACAACTTTTTACCCAACCACCTTTTCTATTGGTAATATTTTTTGGATTAAATCTACGTTTTAACCGATGTCCTATCTCATACCGTTCTCGAGCTACAGTCGTTTCGATGCATAGCGCGTTCCGCCATCTTTGCCCCCCTCCTCCCAAGTTCTCGACCACCTGAAAAGTATGCCTATCATCAAAGATATTTTATGTTACTTCTTTGCGACACTCACAAATTAATTCTACTTTCGGTAAAAAAAACTACACGAAAAGTCCATTTTTACATATTATATATAACAACTTGTTTATTTATAGAGATACGACCTCGGACCCAATAACCATTATTGTTGTCCACATTTTTAGAATTACAACGACGTTTTAACCGATGTTCTATCTTATACCGTTTTCGAACTATCAGCGTTTTAGCGCATAGCGCAAACCGCCATGTTTGCCCCCTCCCCCCCACCTTATCGACCACTTTTGAAATAGGCGACATACGTAATTTTGATCACCACAGTCCATATTACAATAATCAGCAATAACATTGCGTACTACTTTTATGCATGCTCAAACCCCCTCAGCTCCTGGACTATTGAGGGACTTTGACATTTCCTATTCTCTAAATTGTCTTTCTTTCAACACAAAAATCGTGAAAATCCGTCAAGTGATGAATTCAGAAATCGTGAAATAAAAAAACCCTGTCAGGTTTTAATATATATATGATGATTAAGTTACTGATTTCTTGTCTAATGACGAATGATGTCTAATGATGATGTGGTAATGAAATTTGGTTCCTTTGAGTTCTCAAGTTACTCTAGCCTACTTTGGTTGTTACAAGTATTTTAATTTGAAATATTTAGACTTACCTTTGTCTACTTTATTTCCTCTAACTTTATCACTAAAAAGAACCGCATTTCTTTGACTGGAATCTCCGCTGCTAGTTCTGAGATTCTCCCTTTCATTTTTCAACTCACTTTGTTTTGATCCTTTGGGGTTTTTTGAAGAATCTGTGTAGCCTCTGCCTATGGTAGAATATAAAATTAAAAGACAAATAATTAATTATTCACCTTCAAGCTACACAAAAAGAAACACATTTTTTGCAAACTATTACAATACATAAAAATAATTGCTATATATTTGACTTCTTCCCATTTAACATTAAACTTACCTACCTTATCTGAATAATGTGCATAACAATTAGGTTGGTGTAAAAAAACCAATTTAAGTGGAACATCACACCGCCATTGTTCAGTTCTCACCAGACTGCCGTCTCAACAACACTGATCCGTGCAAGTGTTTGATCATCTGTGTTTGTGTTACTATTTGTGCGTAGTTGTACTTGCAATGAAACATTTGTGTATTGTGCAAACACCAGCGTCATGTCTTTATCTAAAAGGCTTGCATTTGAGTGTCCGATATTTGGAGTGATCCTAATAACAATATCAGAAAAATCTTCTCAGATTATCAGTAATTGCTCATTACTTTTTTATGTGTTGTTTAAGCAATGAATAACGAAACCCAGGCCCACTTTTATTAACGGGCAGACTGGGCATATACCCAGGGGCGCCGGTGGTTGGGGGGCGCCCTGAACCACCGCCCGCACTAGGAAAAATAGGGTTTTATCAGCCGGGATTTCAAAAATAAAATGGGTGATTTCAACTTGTAGTTAAGTGATTTTCCCTTATTGCAAAAGTAAATAAATACAACAAAATTGAAAATACTCAACTTTCAGGTTATACCTCGTGTAGTCAGGGAAAGGCAGGCATTAGTGTGAACCGGGCGCACTCACTATACTATCAAAGGCAGGGAGGCCTGCATGGTGGAAGAAAAATACATAGGTGTGCTAATTCCCGTCATATGCTGACGTCACTCAGATTGCAAATACCATTTTACCATTGAGAAAAATTGTAAAAACAATAACAATCAAATCAAATACAGGGTGGGGCAATGAGAACGCCACAATTTGTTTTAGCTGTCACATGTTAATTGTTGCAACAACGAATGATCAGCTGTGCTTAAAACATCAATTAAACTATGCCATTTTAGTAAATATTATGCCCGAGGCTATTAACACTGAGATTTTGATGTGCAAACCTATTTTTAAAATAGTGGTTCTTGTGCAAAAACCCAGAGATTGTTTGGACCACATTCCATCCTTGGTCAACATGGCACTGTTCCAGATTGGAAAACAATGGTGAACTGGGTAAAATTATTTAGGATAAACGCTTAAACCTTAAAAATGATCGGTGGGTGCCGCAAAACTCTTTAAACACCAGCAAATGTTGAAAGAGTGCAAGTCGCAGTAACTCAAAGTCCAAAGAGATTTGCCAGGAAGCTGTTGTTGTTGAAAGCTTTACGTTGGCTCTTTTTTTGGGAGGGGGGGGGTTTCTAATAAGCTATTTGAAGTTCGAGGTTTTTCAAAGTCACCCCACAGATTTGCTTGAACCGAAGCTAAGAATTGTCCAAAAACTAAAGTGATTCCTGAAGAAATGCTGGAGGAGTATTTGATGGAGTTTTCAAGTGCCTAATGTCAAGTAGGACAAGGACGCCACTTGCAGGATTTCGTTCTCAAGAAATTGAAAAATGACTTTGTTAAGTTAAAATGGCAAAAGATAAGCTGTGTTTTGATGTGCTATTTATATCAAATCAAATCAAATATATTTATTTCCATTCGGTACAATAAAGTACAATAGGATAGGTCAGATTGCATTTTACAAATTGTCATGAAGCAAATTAAAGTAGATGTAAATATAAAATTAAACTTAAATTATATAGTATATAGAACAAAACAATTTCTCCTTCAAGCTGGCCAGGAACATCAATAACAGATAAAATAGAAAATAATTTCTGATAACATCATATCTTAATAAAAAAAAGAGAGGATTAGTTTTCAATAATAGTTTTAATGTGAAGAATGATTTTTAGAGACTATTAATTAATAGAGTGAGGGGATTTGTATTTAAGTGTATAGAACGATCTAGAAAGCAATTTGGCAAGAAAAAAACTCATTAAGTGAATAAAGTGGGTTTATTAATAACCAGTTATAAAACTTTCTCTTGAATTGTTTGACATCATATTTTGAGATAAGGCCAATGAGTTTATTGTAAACCTTTGGAGCTACAACAACATGGCTGTTTATAGATTTTGAGAGCCTGTGGTAGTCAATGGAAGTATGATTTTTATTTCTAGTATTATATCTGTGTTCATGGAATTTTAGTATTTGTGTGTTATTAATTACATATACAGTTAAATCAAAGATATACAGATTAATAATAGTAGGAATTTTCGTTGAAACAAAAAGAGGTTTACAATGTTCATCAAGTTCAGATTCAGCGATAACCCTAACGGCTCTTTTTTGGAGAATTAAGATTTCATCCACTCTACTGCAGTTACCCCAGAGAATTAATCCATATCTAATTATTGATTGAAAGTAGGCAAAATAGGCAGTTCTAACAGAATTTGTTTCCAAGCAATGAACCAGGCGTCTTAGGAGAAATATTGTTCTTGATAGTTTTGGTGTTATATAATCAATGTGAGATCCCCAGGTAAGAGTACTATCTATTTTTATGCCCAAAAATTTCACCGAATTAACTGCGATATTAATATCAGTCCCGCTATTAGGGAGGGGTCTTAGGCTGAAAACAACATTCTGTGTTTTACTTTCATTTAAGAGAAATCCATTTGCTTTGAACCAGTCTGATGTGGTGAGGGTATTTTTTTATAATAAATTTAGCTGTTCAAAATCATTATTACTGTGGAAAAAGGTTGTATCATCTGCATAAAGAATAGTTGAGGAATTAACTGAATTTGGGAGATCATTAATGCATATTAAAAACAAAAGTGGACCCAGGACCGAACCCTGGGGCACACCCACATTTATTGATATTTCTTGAGACCAGAGACCATCAGTGTAAACCCTTTGTCTTCGATTAGATAAGTAAGATTTTATGAGCTTTAGAGCAGAGCCTGTAATTCCATAGTAATTTAATTTTTTTATTAGGTCATTTGGATCAACACAATCAAATGCCTTGCTAAGATCACAGAAGGTGGCCTGGGCGTATGACTTGGTCTCAAAGGAAGAAATAATTTCACGAACTAGTTTGTCTACAACTTGGACTGTTGATTTGTCCCTTCGAAACCCGAATTGACAATGATTGAAAATTTTATTGTCTTCAAAAAAGGAATAGATTTGATCATGAGCTATATTTTCATATATTTTTGAAATTACTGGAATTATTGAAATTGGGCGGTAGCTTAAAGGTTCGTTCCTTGGGCCCTTCTTACGAACTGGGCATATCCTGGATATTTTTAACTGATCTGGAAAGACTCCCTCAATCAATGAAAAATGTATGCAATATGCCAAGGGTACTGAAATACTAGGAATAATACTTTTTAGACAATTGTTACTCATATTATATACATCACAGCTGTCTGAATTACTAAGTCTTTTAGCAACCCGTATAATATCTTCAGAATTTACAAGTTTCCATTGGAAAATATCTGGGGTTATAACTGTATTTCTTAGAAAATCACTGGAAGTAAATTTAGTGTTACCAATTTGTTTTAGCGAATTTCCCTATAGGGAAGTAGCTATTACCGTAGGTGGCACGGTAAGACCTAGACCCGGGACCGATTTACTTTTTCATTTTGATGTCCCCAGAGGCCAAAAACACTATTCGTTCAAATTTTTATATATGTATATATATATATATATATATAGACTTATATATATATATATATATATATATAGACTTATATATATATATAGACTTATATATATATATAGACTTATATATATATATATATATACGTCCGTGAACGCGATAACTTGAGTAATTTTTGTCCGATTTTGGTTTAAAGGTGTAAAGCGGGATAAACTTGAATGAGTTCCCGAACCAGCATGATCGGACCATGGGAACGGGGCTTTACGGGGGTTTTATGGGGTAAAAATTGGTTTTTCTCACTTTTGACCCTCAAAACACAAAATTTCCCAATTTCTCCTTAGACCTTTCTAAAGAGCTTAAAAAAGCAAATAATTTAGTATATGAAAGTATTTTTGTTCGATTATTAGTAACGGAGAAAATTAAAAAAATTGTAAATTTAAAATTCCCATGTTATTCTTATGGAGAATATTGTCAAATGTTGTAGTTTGCTTGTTTATGAATATATTTTGATCAAACTTGGCAAATTTATTTATTTTCTACTAAGCTATCAATATTTTACTCAAAAACACACTTTATTAGTTTCCTTGTAGCAGCAAACCTAGGTACTCGTTAAACCTAATGTTATTAAAATATATTTAACTGAAAATCAATTCAGACAAATGGAAATTCGCTTAGTCGGCAGGTTTGCTGCGGCGGGGGTATTTTAATATTTGCTACACTTTCTACAAAAAAGGTATTAAAGACATCTGGTGCAATGTGATGGTTGTTTGCTTTATGTAAACCACAACTATGAGTTTTAATTATGTTCCAGGCCGCTTTACATTTATTTTTACTTTCTTCGATATATTTGGCATTATCCATAGGGTGAATATTATTGAGTTTGTACTGCTTATAAATTGGGGCGCTTTCATTGCCCCACCCTGTATATGGCGTACCGGGGATAATTCTCGCAATGTTTGATGTTCAAAATGTTTGAAATTCAACTCTTGAGGATGCGGGCAAGACGACATCACGGCAAATCAAGAAGTAGGCTTGCTGATTGTCATTGCGGGTGTTTATTTGTGGAAATTTTGTTTTGGAAGAGTAGTTTCAAGGATGTGTTCAACGTGAATTCGCCTATTGGGTCTGATGATGATTGGAGTTTTCAATCGAAATCAATCACCATTTACTATCTTTTATTTGTATTTAGCTTACCGTCTTGTGAATCAACAGTAGAAGTATAAATACAAGTGTTATTAGATGTATTTTTTGCACTTTCGGGTAAATTTGATCAAGAAGTAATTTAGAAAACTGCATGAATTCCCAGGTCTTTGAAAAGGATCTTTAATGTGCATTATACTCAGCTGAGGATATTATTCTTACAGCTTATGGAGCAATAATAAATTATTGCTTTACAAGGTTGTCCTCAAACCAATTTGGACATATGGCATTTCTTTGTGGGGAACAGCTTCAAAATCATACTTGGATATATTACAAAGATTTCAGTCAAAATTACTAATATTACAAAGCTTTCAGTCAAAAATACTAAGAACCATCCTGAAAGCCCCTTTGGTATGTATCCAACGTCCCCATTCACAATGATTGCAAAATTCCATTTGTTTCTGAAGAAGTTGCGAGGTGCAGTAAAAAATACATCTCTAAGCTTCAGTATCATCCAAACCATTTGGCCCTCTCCTAGACAACAGTCAACATGTCTACAGACAAAAAAATAATTTATAAATAAAAAAAACTTTTTTAAAACAAAACGTTTTTAAACGCACTAAAAAGAAATTATCTATTGCATGCACCCCGCGTTTTTTGTTTTAAATCTTACAAGTATTTATAATCTCCACATATTTTTAAATTAATTTATACTTTTTAGTGCGTTTAAAAACGTTTTGTTTTAAAAAGTTTTTTTTTTATTTATAAATTATTTTATATTTTTTAGTTTTTAATTTGTGTGGATGTTAAATCTATTTCAAGCATCTGTATCAGATTAAGACAGAGGCATTTGGGAAATCTAAGGTTTATTTGAATTTCTTTTCATATAATTATGTATTAGATTGAATGTATGGCCTACCTACTAACTATAAATATATCAATCTATTTAATTTATTGTTTACTTTATAGAATACTAAATAAATAACAATTGACATTATTAACAAACACCTTTATATCTGCAATCAGATTGTTTATCTTTATTTTGAAATGTTTGTTTGTATAAAGAATCTGTTGGGAGCAAAACCTGTTACTGGTACAGTACCTCTTAAAAGGGGGCTAGCCTAGCTAAAAACGCACGTTTATAGAAAACATTTTGCTGTGAATACACTTTTTGACCTAGGATTTTGAATTTTTCAGGGCATTTTAAGCACAAATCTGGGCATATAATCATGTAAAATATTTTGAAAAATGTTGATGTGTTCGGGAGTTATGATAAAAAAATTAAATTTTATATTTGTAAAAACCTAGGTAACCATTTTACACATTGTGCTTTTTTGTATTTAATTTACACAAATAAATTTGGTATGGTTCTTTTCCTTATGCCTAGGGCTATAGCCTGAACTAAAAATATGTTAATATAATTGAAATTGGTTAGTTGGCTTAACATTAGATTATAAAAAAATATTTTATTTTATTTTTTGATAAATTTATATATTTTATTACTTAAACCATACCTACTGCTACAATTCTAGTTCAGGTCATAGGTACTGATGGTATAAACATCCTGTAAAAATTTGGTAATGATATCTCAACTGGCTTAGAAGATATCATGTAAATAGTAAGAAAAAAACACTAGTTTCGGAAAATCGACGGACACTTGCCACAAGTCGCGGACAAGTATTGGACTAACAATGAAAAGGCATGTGCACTGATAAATGTTTTTGGTCATATCTCAACTAAAAAAATAGATATCTTTATAATTCTGGTACCAAACTGTTCAGAAAGAACTCACAAAATAAAAAAATATATTTTAAAAAAATTTAAAAATTTGAAATTTTTTGCTAGGCTAGCCCCCAACCTCTGATCTTCGAACTGTCAAATTTAAGTATTTTTCAGCTGACTTAAATTAATTGATATATTTACATTCTTTCAAAATGTAAACATGGAAAATTCCGAAGCCCATGGGGCGTAGCCCAAGGGAAACATGAAAATTAAATTATATAATATTGCATTGTCATCCTTTTGTGAGCTATGTTTCAAATTTCAAGTCTCTAGCTCATCGGGAACTTCATTTAGAATTGATATCAAAATTTGTAGGAAAGCGAGCTAATAAATACAAGCCCATGGGGCGTAGCCCAAGGGAAATATGAAAATTAAATTGTATAATATTGCATTATCATCCATTTGTGAGCTATGTTTTAAGTTTAAAATCTCTAGCTCATCGGGAAGTATCAAAATTTGCAAGAAAGCAAGAAATTTTTTGAAATGTTTGTTTGTATAATGAATTTGTTGGGAGCAAAACCTGTACCTCTTAACCTCTGCTCTTCGAACTGTCAAATTTAAGTATTTTTCAGCTGACTTAAATTAATTGATATTTACATTCTTTCAAAATGTAAACATGGAAAATTTGGAAGCCCATGGGGCGTAGCCCAAGGGAAATATGAAAATTAAATTATATAATATTGTATTGTCATCCATTTGTGAGCTATGTTTCAAATTTCAAGTCTCTAGCTCATCCGGAACTTCATTTAGAATTGATATCAAAATTTGTAGGAAAGCGAGCTAATAAATACAAGCCCATGGGGCGTAGCCCAAGGGAAATATGAAAATTAAATTATATAATATTGCATGATCATCCATTTGTGAGCTAGGTTTCAAGTTTAAAATCTCTAGCTCATCGGGAAGTATCAAAATTTGCAAGAAAGCGAGTTAATAAAAACAAGCCCATGGGGCGTAGCCCAAGGGAAATTATGAAAATTAAATTATATAATATTGCATTGTCTTCCATTTGTGAGCTATGTTACAAGTTTCAAGTCTCTAGCTCATTGGGAAGTTAGTATAAAATTGATTGCAAAATTTGTACCGGACAAGGAAGCGAGCTAATAAAAACGTTTTAAAATGGCCCCACAGTACCAAGCCATACATGAGGTGGCTATGAAAAGATTGTAGCTCAGTAAGTTTAAGTTAATAATTAATTATGAGTCGTTTTTCATCCGTTAATGTTCTTCAATGGGGATGATTGCAATAGGTTTCATGTTATTGGAAATAAATAAGCTACCGGTACTGATTATACTTGTCTAGGCCATGACAATTGGCTTCTTTAGATGCTCTTCTTATCTAATCAAAGATTAATTGGACTTACCTTTCACACACTTTTCGTCTAGTTTATTCCCTCTTACTAAAACTTCACTAAAACTTCTTTGACTAGCTAATCCACTGCTAGTTCTGGGATTCTCTTTTTCATTTTTTATTTCACTTTGTTTTGATCGTCTGAAGCCTGCTGAAGAATCCATGTAGCCTACGGTAGAATCTAAAATAAAATTACACAAAATTATTCTCCTTTAAGCCATACAAAAAGAAACTCAGATTTAGTAAATGATTGCAAATATACATAGAATAATAAAATACCCCCGCAGCAGGAAACCTCCAGACAAAGCGAATTTACATTCATCTGGTTGGATTATTTCCTTAAGATTGTAAGAGACCTTTATTTTCTTTTTTAACCCTTAGAGTGCCAGGCGAGAAATAAAAGTAACACTCAAAAAATGCCGATGATTTTTCCCGAAGGTCGCGCTAAAAATGCCGAGCGCGATCTGGCGATTTTTAGGTTAAAATTTCGTAAAAATAGAATTTTCGATATTTCGACCAACGAAAATCGATGTATCGCATCTAGTAACTTTAGACTCAATGTTAATATATGGGTAAAAAGAATCCGAGTATCCATTCGGTTGTTATGACAACTGTTCGATCATTACGAAACGTCTGGTCAGCCGGACGTTGGCACTTTTGGCTCGTTCTAAAAACGTCCGGTCGGCCGGACGTCGGCACTTTTGGCTTGTTTTAAAAACGTCCGGTTCCCCGGACGTTGGCACTCAAAGGGTTAATAGGCCTAACATTAATTGTTATGAGAAGGGCTAATCAAATCAAATCAAATCAAACTACTTGGATTTGCTTCTACGAGGCAGGTTTGCGAACTCGTTGGTATAGGTAGGTAAATGTAGGTTTGGTTAACTTGCATGGGCCTATATGTATACCAGATTTCATAAATACCCCCGCCACAGCAAACCTGCAGACTAAGCGAATTTCCATTTACCTGGCTAGATTTCTATTCAAATATTAGGCCTACCAGAAAATTGTCAGATTTATTTCCTATTTAAATAACATTAATTTTAATGAGTACCTAGGTTTGCTGCAACAGGGAAGGTATTGAGGTGTTTTTTTAAATTGAAATATTGACAGCTTAGTATGACATAAAAAATTACCAAATTTGATTCTGAAAACATAGTACAGTAGGCCTAGGCTATGTTTATAAACAAGCAAACTAGCTTACAACAGTTTATTTGTTCCCCATAAGAATAACATGGAAATTTTAAATTTTAAGTTTTTTTAATTATCTCCGTAAACTTTAGGCACACAACAACACTTCAATAAACAAAATTATTTTTTTTAAGCTCTACATAATGGTCTGGAAATAAATTTTGAAATGTTATGTTTTTAGAGTCAAAAATGGGAAAAACCAAATTTTACACCATAACCCCCCCCCCCCCTAAACACCTGTTCCCATAGTCCGATCATACTGGTTCGCGAACTCGTTTGAATAAACGGAGGTTTACACGTTTGTACCAAATTTCATCAAAATCGGATCAGTTTTGCTCGAGTTATCACGCTAACGGACACGTGTGTGTGTGTGTATATATATATATATATATATATTTATAGGCTAACTTATAAGCCTTCTATATGAGGGTGTTTTTGCCCTCTGAAGACCTCAAAACGAAAAAGTAAATTGGTCCCGGGTCTAGGTCTTACCATGAGACCTATGAAAATAGCTTATTCCCTATCTGGGAAATTCGCTAAAATCAGATGATTTTTACTCAATTTAAATTGCTAAAAACTACAGAATTTTACAATATTCTCCATAAAAATAATAAACTAATTTTAAATTTAGGCCTAATTTTTTTTTAATTTTCTCTGTTAGGTGCCAATAACCATAGAAAAACACTTTAATATAGGCCTACTAAATTATGTTTTTTAAGTTGGTTCTTTAAAAAAGTCTAAAGAGAAATTGGGAAATTTTGTGTTTTGAGCGTCAAAAATGAGAAAACCCATTTTTTACCCCAAAACTTAAAACCCTCAGTAAAACCCCGTTGCCATGGTCCATGGGTCTGATCTATTGCCGGTTGCACCTTGATTCATAAATATAGCTAGGCTTACAAGCATTTGTTCTAAAATTTGTAAGGCTAAGCTGTGTTTACGCTAAGTACAACGGAGTCACTGGCAGAATTGTCATAACTTACTTATTCTTAATTAGAATTTTGTCGCAGATCACAAGATACAAACACAAGTTATTGACATAAGTCACTGACAGATAATCTTGTACTTTTGTTTTGGTCAGTGACATAGTAAGTTATTATATCTCACATTCTGCCCGCAACGCTGTTCTACCAGTACTGAGTGTGCCGGTAGGTCCACTTGGCGGACGAGATAGGAAGCTTTTGCCACAGACAAAAGTCACTACAGCATATCAAATGAAATAATCGCTAAATCGATCGATATTTTCATTTGGTTGTTTTTGACAACAGATACAAAAGTCTACCCAGTTAATTACTGTGGATGTTGTCGGTGACAGTAGGCCTACTTTAATCTTCTTGACTCTCGATTTAAAACAGACTTTTTGTCGCTGGCATGTGTCAAAAACTCCCATGTAAACGCGGCTTTACTCATAGAAGTAGGCCTAGGCCAAAACATAGCCCTATTCACGGGTACAGTTTCTTAACTGGGCTACGCTAATATCGATTGAAACTATTGATTCGATTAGTAAACCTTCATGCGATTTTTTCACCATCACCAAGTTTGGTTATTAAGGTTAGGTTATGATAGTTTTATTTTATAATAGCCTAGATATATATTTAAAAATATTGATTATTAATCAATATTTTCAATTCGATAGTTTTAATCAATATTAGCGTAGCCCAGTTAAGACACTGTACCCCTATTCAGAATTTCTAGACTTTATTTAGCCTATTTAACAACAACACCCTACTCGCAACGCATTAGTTATTTGTGCGGGTACAGTTTCTTAACTGGGCTACGCTAATATCGATTGAAACTATTGATTCGATTAAGTAAACCTTCATGCGTTTTTTCACCATCAGCAAGTTTGGTTGGTTAGGTTAGGTTATGATAGTTTTTTTTATAAATTTAAAAATATCAATTATTAATCAATATTTTCAATTCGATAGTTTCAATCAATATTAGCATAGGGCCTAGCCCAGTTAAGAAACTGTACCCATTTGTGCAACTAGGCCTAGGTAGGTAGCGATGTTATACATTTTACAATTTTCCGCGTGTGACAACTATTTTTTCTTTTATTTTATAGCATTGACAATGTCTATTACACAACTGTGTCCCTAAAATAAAAGATTCTTATTCTTAAAAGATAATTTTGTGCTGAATAAACATAGGCTAGGCCTACTTACAATTACAACATTGAGGTTAGGTAGGATCGTACGTATACGTAACGTAGGAGGATGTTGCGTTGCGATTGCGATTTGCGACGCTCCCAATTCCAATTCCCAACCCAATTGGATTGAGTTTTTTATTAGCAAGCCTAGCCAGCCTGGGCCTGAGCCTCCAAAAAGAGTCCAATCCAAACTCCAGCCTCCAGCCACTCAGCCAAGGGCCACGTTTCCGCAAGGCTCTCGGGACGCTCCGTGACGTTGCACTAGCGTCTAGAATCTAGATACTGAGAGCAACGAGTCGGCTCACCGGACCGGAGCAACAGTCGTGGTGGGGAGCTGGGAGGAACGATGACGTCATCACTTACTTCCAGCTTTACGCTTTACTGATTTCTCTATCATGTCTAAAATAATTAATTAATTAATTGTGATTTAATTTATATTTATGGATTAAAACTATTTCCTGAAGGAGGTATGAGCTCATCATGGTCAATATAGGATAGCTGTAATCTGTATGTGTATGTTATAAAAGGTAATGTGACACTAACCTTTGCTCTTACTTGATTATCACTTGGTATTATCACTTGGGTTATAGTAGTACGTTTTCTGTGCTTATGGTTGGTAAACCAGTTGGCCTACAACAGATATCATAGAATTAATTTGAACATTTATCTTGGACTTATTTACTACACAATTTGAGCAGTTCTAGATTTCATGCATATATTTTTATTATCTAATCTTAAATGATTTTAAATATTTTTTTTATCAACAGCTTGGGCATAATTTAACCAGAGTAGTGGCGAACTAGCAAAGATACATCACTTTAGGCACGTTTTCCCCATAAGAATAACATGGGGATCATTTTTTGGCCACCAAAACCAAAAATCCTGATCTTTGCCTAAATATCCCTATATAATTGTCAAACCTTATTTCTTACTTATTCCCCATAAATATATTTGATATTAAGCTAAAAAGCTATTTCTTACATTTATTGACCCTTACAAGTGTAAATTTAGAGTAGTGGTGAACCCAGAAAGAGCCATCACTTGGGGCACGTTTTCCCCATGTTATTCTTATGGGGATCATTTTTTGGCCACTAATTGCAAAAATCCTGCTCTCGACCTATACAAGCCTATATTAATGTTCAATACCATTGTATAACTTTATTACTATTTCAAATCCACATCCATTCACATGTATATTCTCAAAATCATCAAATTGACAATGCGAGGTTTGTACGCAAAATTGGGCGTGTTCCCGGCTCATGGCGCGCTCCCTTGGACATCCTTAGTGGAAATCCATGAATTCTGACTACTTGGGAACCCAAGCCATTTGACATACAATAAATCACCCTTCCTCCTAATTACCTTTTCTATCAAATACATGTCTTTATACTTGGTCTTTAACAACTCCTCTGTATAGAAGCCTCCTCTGATTATATTACCATTTTCATCTTTCAAGATATAAGTCACAGGCTTTGTATTCTTAACTTCTGCTATTGTAAATAGTTCCCCTGTCCAATTTGGGGTATATCCTTTACTAAACACATGTTTATATTTGGAAATTCTCACGCTATCACCTACCTTATATCTTGGCTTTTTAACTTGCACTACTTTAGAAGTCAACCTCTCATGCACATATTTACTGTTCTTAATATTCACTTGGTTAGGCTTCATACCTATAGATCTATGCACTTTATTATTATATTTTCGAATTAACTTTGGAAGTAAATCCAACCATTTATAACTCCCCTGAGCACTAAATTCTCTATATAACCAATTCTTTAAAGTTCTCTGAAACCTCTCCACAATTGCAGCCTTAGTTGTAGAAAATGTGTGATAGTGATTAATATTTAATTTTTTCATTAGTTTGCTAAAATATTGATTAAAAAATTCTTTTCCATTGTCGGATTGAATGTTTTTAACCCCCTTTGGTAGAATGGTTTTAATGGCTTCTGTAGCCACTAACCCTGTCTTATTCTTTAGTGGAGCAGCATAAGCTTTTTTAGAAAATGTATCTATTAAAGTTAAAATATATTTATTGCCAGAATTCTCTCTAGCATAGTTTTGCATATCAATTAAATCTATTTGTATGGTTTCGTTTATACCCAATACTTTAAAAGACCTTCTAATGAAATTCTTTCTTGCAGGCTTATGAAGTTCGTATGCAATTTCATTCATTTTTTATAACATCATCCTTTTTTCCTGTAACTCTAAATACATCACCATTAGCCCCAATCAAAAGATTATCTTCCATTCTTTTAAATACATAGTTTTCTGGTATATATGGTCTATTATCTATATACTTAAATCCACTCAAAGATGTGGGGTCAGCAACTAATAAATCAGGATTATATTCCATCAAATTAAAAATTTTTTCCCCATATACAAATTTTGATCCATCGTAATGCATAGATTGTGACATTAGACAAATATCATTCGAATGTTCCCCCTCTGGTAGATTCCTTATAAATATTTTTTTGGCATCCCAACATTTTTCTTTTTTATCAAAAGTTATAGTCTGTTCTTTTATAACACAGTCAGTTTCATCAATGGCAGGTTTAACACGTACTAACCTTTTATTATAAAAACTCCAATAGCCTGCTTCCATTTTTGGAACTTGTGAAACATTCACAGCATCTTTACTATCTGTACCTTCCATCAAATTGCTAAGTTTCTGTTTCTTAGCATTCCAAACACCATTCTCTGATTCTAAAAATTCATAATTATTATCATCTTGTATAAATTTACCATCTTCTTTTCGTATTAAAGTCTGTTGTAAAGTGGGCACATCATCTAAACTTTCACCCTTTTCTACATTAGTAATTTTCCGTTTCTTAGCATTCCAAACACCATTCTCTGATTCTACAAATTCATAATTATTATTGTCTTGTATAAATTTACCACCATCTGTTCGTATTAAAGTCTGTTGTAAAGTGGGCACATCATCTAAACTTTCACCCTTTTTCACATTAGTAATTTTCTGTTTTTTAGCATTCCAATTTTTATTCTTAGATTCTAAAAACTCGTATTTAGTTTTACCTTGTAAAAAGACATCACCTTTTCTAGTTAATGTCTGTCCCAAAGTTGATACATCATCTACAATCTCCCCATCTTTAACATTACCAATTTTACGGTTTAAACAATTCCAACTATCGTCTTTTAAATTTAAAGTAGGTTCATGACTAGCCCTGGGTTCTGCAGGCTTATTATATGGATTATTTTAGTAAATTAAAACATAATAATTAACACAACTGAATTTATTGAACTCACAAATCAGACTAAACTAAAAAGTAAACAAAACATAATAATGTAAACAGTCATCTGACAGATGTTATAAATAAAACATATGGACTTATTTCTTGATACATAACACTCCTCCTCCCGTTAGGTAGTCCTTCAGATATGCCGGTGGTCGACGGATACGAACAGGTCGAGGACTCATGCTCATTGAAGTGTTTTGGGAGTTTGATCTAGAGACACGTGACCGAACAGGTTGTGGACTCGTGCTCATGCTAGTGGAGTCTTGAATTAAACCAGCATCTTCTTGATGAGGGTTAATTGAACCTTCTATACCACTAAAGGAATTGCGAGATTGTTGCATCACTGATGGTCGCATTGGTTGTACGTCTGGTGTTCTCATCATAATAGGATTGCGAACCATTGATGGTGGTTGCACTGGAGTGATATGATGTGCTTCTGGTGTTCTCATTTGAATAGGATTCTGGAGTAGTGGGTGGAATGGTGGGTTTACTGGAGATTCAGGATTATCCAAGTGTGAGTTAGTAGATGCTTTTGATGTTTCTGAGCGAGGTCTCAATTGGTCAATATGACGTCGTATTTCAATGCCTTCTTTTGTTATCAAATGGTAGCTCAGTGGCCCGGTTATTCTAGTGACTTTAGCAGGAATCCACTTTGGTCCTCGCTGATTATAGTTTCTTGCAAATACGGAGTCATTTTCTTTAAATTTCCTCTGAGGTGACTGTTGGTAATCGTGAAGCGCTTTATCCAAGATTTTCTCTTCTTTGTCACTTGAAGAATAATCTGGGTGAACTCTGTCTAAGATGGTTCTAATACGCCTTCCGAACAGCAGTTCACTCGGTGACATATTAGTAGAACAATTTGGCGTTATATGAGATGATATTAGGAACTGAGCCAATCTTTTTTGCCAATCTCCTTGAAGTATTCGTCGCAAAGAATTTTTTGTCGTTTGGACCATCCTTTCTGCCTGACCATTCGATGACGGATGGTATGGTGCAACCACGACGTGGCGGATGCCATTGCTTTCATTAAACGATCGAAATTCTTGTGAAGTGAAAGCCGACCCGTTATCAGATACTATTGTGTCTGGAACACCATGTGTTGCGAAAAGGCTTCTGAGGACCTTTATAGTTGATCTTGAATCTGTAGAAGGCACCAAAACTACTTCTAACCATTTGCTGAAAGAATCGACAACAATCAAAAACAACTTGTTTTGGAAGGGCCCAGCGAAATCTATGTGGAGACGAGACCAGGGTTGTTTCGTTTTCTCCCAGGGAAGAACTGTTGCTCTTGGAGGGTTGTGACGACTTTGTTGACATGCTTGACAAGAATTCACTATGTTTTCTATGTCTTGATCAAGTTTTGGCCACCAGAAATAGCTTCGAGCCAACGCCTTTGTTCGAACAATGCCCTCATGTCCCATGTGTAGAAGCTTCAGAGCTTGTTGCCTGAGAGTGGATGGAATGATCACCCTAGTTCCCCAAAGTAAACATTGTTTGCATTGAGAAATTGAATTTTGACGAGAAATGAAAGGCGTAAGGTTGATATCTGAGTTATGAGTTGGCCAACCACGTTGAGTCCATAATAGTACTTTAGATAGAAGTGGATCCTTTTCTGTTTCTTTTGCTATTATATTAGCGGTGATTGGTTTAACCTCATCGGATTCAATGTATAGCACGTCATTCAAGACTTCATTTATCTCTTGATCAACAACATTGGAGGAACATGGAAGACGACTCAAACCATCAGCATTCGGAATAGTTTCTTCTTGTTCATAATTGGTTTCCTCTGACAAAACTTCATGAGCCCGCTGTCCCTTTGATCCGTGTTTTTGGCTAAAATATTCTTTGGGGCGTGGTTTCCCTCCTTTACAAACTCGTGCTAGATGCCCAATTTTCTTGCAAATATTACAAGTAGTCTGAAGATGGGGACAATCCCTTCTAAAATGTCTTAATCCACAACCAAGACAAACATTAGGTGTAACAGAGTGAGCTGGATTGTTGTTAAATGCAACAAATTTCCTGTTTGAATGGTCAATTTTATGTGCATTAGCAAAACTTGAGCTACTGAAAGAAAGTTCCTTACTTTGAGTTTGAAATAATTCATTTGACTTAGCTGCAATAACAACATCCTGAAGTTTAATAGTAGGTTCTTTCAAAATTTTATTCCTTAACTCATCACTTCTAGATCCAATCAAAATTTGCATAATTAATTCCCTATCCAAGTCTTTGAATTCACAGTTCACAGCTAATGTTCTTAGTCGAGAATAGAAAGAGTTAAACGACTCTGATTCTGCTTGATGACACTTCCTAAAATTAAATATTTCAAAAAGGACATTTTTGGTAGGAGCGAAATAGTCAGTTAATAGTTTTATAACATTTTTGTACGTTATTTCATTAGGTTGTGGTAAACTATCAAAAATGTAAGCCACTTCCTCACCAGCTAGATTAAGTACTAGTGCAGTTTTCCTTACATCACTGGTAATGTCTGCAGCTAAAGCATACCTCTCAAATTGCTTAATCCATGTACCCCAACGCTGTGCGACACTTGCAGGATTTGTATGGGGGTCAAAACGATCAGGCTTATTGAGATCCATTATCCAATTATCCTCGTCGCCAGTTTAGTAAATTAAAACATAATTAACACAACTGAATTTATTGAACTCACAAATCAGACTAAACTAAAAAGTAAACAAAACATAATAATGTTAACAGTCATCTGACAGATGTTATAAATAAAACATATGGACTTATTTCTTGATACATAACAATTATATAAACGATAAAATTTATCTATAAACATATCTATATATTTAATACACAGTTGTAACACTGTTTTCTCAGTAATTACTGGACCGATCTACAAGATTTATGTCTCAAATTAAAGGGGATAGTGTGTAGATTTGCCGAACTTCCTTAGAATTTACGTTTTTTCTAAGGGCTACGACCTACAGCCCTTTAAAGGTCGAGTCAATACAATTCTTATTGAAGAATATAATACACAATTTATAAATTATTCGTCAGCTGTTTAATGTTTGTCAGACATTTGTTAATATTTTTATAACCTCACTTTCAGAATGCAATTATTAAACTTGGAGTTTCTGTTTATAAACACACGATTTTGACCAAGGAAAGTGTATTTGTTAACTTATTTTTGAAATGTTTTAGTTTTCCTGCAAAGTGATCTGAATGAAAGTGGTAATTGAGTTTAAGTTTGAGTATGGAATGTGAAATAATATCTATAGTAGGGAATGGAAACTTATTGTTTGATCAATAGAATTTATTCTCTACGGCCACCAGAATAATCATGGGGAAATCCGCTTGCAAGTTGTACATATAATTGCTAATGAGTGGGAAACATACAAGCATTTTATAGTAGGTGACGAATCTTACTCAAGATCAGTGTTAGACGTTCAGTGGTACCAAACTTTACCTTCTCAAGATGGCGAGTACGCTGGGATATACGTGGAACTACAATATATCAGTGAATTTTTTCAAGTACACAGGGAAGTTGCTTGAGAAACTGTGACTTACCATTCGGTTCTGGCGAAGAAGTATGTGACTTGATGTTTAATGGCAATGTTGACTCGGGTCATTATAACTTTATAAAACTTTATCATTAACACCAGGGTGTGAAAAGTACAAAATGAAAAAGAAAAGGTAATCATTAACCGGGCGTAAAGAGACATACCGAACGAAAAAAAAATGTAGAGAACCATCGAACTAAAAAGGTAAAGAGCAGTGTTGGTGTTAAATGTGCTGTGGAAGTCCCTAAACAAAATACCATCTCTTTTGAATTGGGGTCGTTAGATTGGATTTGTCACTACGGTACTTCAAATCTATGAATTTCGACTCAGAACAGACTAACTGGGACAAGTTGTACAGATAATTGCTAATGATTGGTAAACATACAAACATTTTATCGTTAGTGATTAATCTTAGGCTTACTCAAGATCAATGTTCGACGTCCAAATTTTACCTTCTCGAGATGGTGAGTACGCTGGGATATTTGGAACTGCAATTTATCAGTGAACTATACCCTAACTATATTTTTTCGAGTAGGCCTACACAGGGAAGTTGCTTGAGAAACTGTGACTTACGATTTCGGTTCTGGCGAAGAAGTATCTGACTTGATGTTTAATGGCAATGTTGACTCGGGTCATTATAGCGTTATAAAACTTTATCATTAACCCCAGGATGTGAAAAGTACAAAAAGAAAAAGAAAAGGTAATCATTAACCGGGCGTAAAGAGACATACAGATCGAAAAAACACGTAGAGAACCATCGAACTAAAAAGGTAAAGAGCAGTGATGGTGTTAAATGTGCTCTGGAAGTCCCTTCTAAAAAATACCAATTTTTTAAATTGGGGTCGTTAGATTGGATTTGTCAGTACTGCAAATCTATGAATTTTGAGTCAGAACAGACTAACTGGGACACAAATGTTTTTTCCTTATGTTGTGACAAGGGGAAGGTAAAATGAACTCCTTATAAACATTGTGAGTTTATGGAAAATCTTATCAACAGCGACTATAAAAAAAGTATTAAGGGTCAAAAGAGACAAAAAACTATTTGAGTAAAATATAATACAAATCTGCATTTGAAATGGCCAGTTCTGTCTCACTTGAATCAACATCTTTCTGGTAGTGGTAGTCTACATTTAAAATCCACGACTCCTTTTCCATCAAATTGGACCGTTAATACCCTCTAACATTGAACAAAGTATGCCCAACTTTATATATACGACGTAAACACAGCTTTTACTCACCGAATGGGTCAAAGATTCGTGAAATGCGACCAACTGCTGATGCGTGATTTCCATGTAGGCTAAGTGACTATCTTTATTCAATACAACAAATGTAATGAAAAAAACGACGAATATAGGAATATACTTGAGCAAATTATCTAAATAGCATAAATAGCTGCTTATTAGGTTATCAGCATTGCCCAGTTCGTATAGGTACTATTTATTTTTCAAATGAAACTCGAATTAATATAAACATTAATTTGGTTAAAATAATATATCGGTTTGATTAACATAAAATAGTTTATACAGGCAAACTACCAGTTATATTTCAAAGATACATAAAGATAATACAAAGATAAACAGTATTTGTTAATTATTATTTCTTTTATTGCTGACAATATTCCCGTGGCGGAGCACGGGCGGTTAACTAGTTTTTATTTAATAAATAATACCACTTTCTCTCAATTCCTCAATAATGGAATCTATTTCATTATCCACTCCTGAGTTACCGGCTTGGCGACTTAGCCAAAGAAGTCTTAACCTATCTACAAGCTCATTAGGATCATCCCAATAAATATAGTCTATTTTATTACCAGTCACTTGTCTCAAACCTTCACCAACAGATTTAAATAGAGGTTTAATTATATTAAGATATTTAGTATGTCTATTACTTGAAATTGGTGCACCATCTTTGTAACTCTTTAAATGCCCATTTGTAGCTTCCAAAATTTCTTTATAATTTTGCAAATCAGCCGGAGTATAATCCTCAGGTTCTTTTAAAGTTAACAATTGCCACAAGCCTTTTGTCCCCTTGTAAGTTTTATTTGCAACTGTAACATCATCATTGGCAATATCAACTTCCTTATTTCCAATAAAAAATTTATTTGCTTCTCGTCTAATACCATATGTAGTGTCTGTCATACTACTTTTACTGAGGTAATTTCCTAAATAGTCTGATGCTAAAAGACCAAAATCTAATTTCTGTGGGGTGGATTGTTGTAATCTTGGTATCATTGATATTCTAGATGGAGTCATTGGGAGTATCTCCATTCGAGGCCTCTCTGTTTTGGCGATTTTTTTTAATTCTTGTAATGGCTCTATTAAAGGTTGGAATGTTTGGAACCTCTCTTCAGCCTCTAGAAACTTGCCACGTTTTAAAGCTCTATATTTCTCTCGTATTTGATTTTCAGAGTCAACCAATTCTTGTTGAATGTTTTTCATCTTTTATTTAAATTTTATTTATCTCATTTGACAAAGGATTGTACTCAAACACTTTATCATGTATTATCAAACAATATGCAGATGTATTTGCTGGTACATTTTCTGCAGTTTCAATCTCTAATTTAATATCAACATGGGATGATCCTAATGAGCTTGTAGATAGGTTAAGACTTCTTTGGCTAAGTCGCCAAGCCGGTAACTCAGGAGTGGATAATGAAATAGATTCCATTATTGAGGAATTGAGAGAAAGTGGTATTATTTATTAAATAAAAACTAGTTAACCGCCCGTGCTCCGCCACGGGAATATTGTCAGCAATAAAAGAAATAATAATTAACAAATACTGTTTATCTTTGTATTATCTTTATGTATCTTTGAAATATAACTGGTAGTTTGCCTGTATAAACTATTTTATGTTAATCAAACCGATATATTATTTTAACCAAATTAATGTTTATATTAATTCGAGTTTCATTTGAAAAATAAATAGTACCTATACGAACTGGGCAATGCTGATAACCTAATAAGCAGCTATTTATGCTATTTAGATAATTTGCTCAAGTATATTCCTATATTCGTCGTTTTTTTCATTACATTTGTTGTATTGAATAAAGATAGTCACTTAGCCTACATGTAAATCACGCATCAGCAGTTGGTCGCATTTCACGAATCTTTGACCCATTCGGTGAGTAAAAGCTGTGTTTACGTCGTATATATAAAGTTGGGCATACTTTGTTCAATGTTAGAGGGTATTAACGGTCCAATTTGATGGAAAAGGAGTCGTGGATTTTAAATGTAGACTACCACTACCAGAAAGATGTTGATTCAAGTGAGACAGAACTGGCCAT